AAACTAATAGTAACGATCTGAACAGTAAATGACTTTCATCTGTTCTGAAATATAATATTCAAACTTGAATTACTGATCAGTTGAAAAAATTATTAAAGTTGCTTTTACTATCGATGACGGCAAAGCTATAGACAAATACAAGACAACAAAAAAAAAGGATGCGCTAGTAGTTGTATCAATTTTTTTAAGTATTTATATACATAAAGAATTTTTGCTTTTCTTTTGTCGGAAAAATGGTCATCATCAGTTTTGTATGGTTTATATTCCTACGAAAACAGTCATTTCGTTCAAGGCTTTCAAAAATAAAATATAATATTTAATATAAGATCAACATTTTATTAAATATCATTAACTGAAATAAATAGTGTAATAGTCACAATTAAGTATATCCACTCAATTATAATTTAATTCCTATCTTCATTCAAATTAATATTTAGAGATTTGATAATGAAATTGTGTAATGAATTTAATTAATGAACTCAAGTCATTTTATTTAAACAACTTAATATAAGTTTCATATAATCAAAATAGTTTTTTTTTTAGTTGGAGAATGATAATCATTAATAAAACAATAGAAATGATTCAGTAGTATATTTTTATTTATTTATTTAGATATTTATATGATAAAAAATACTATTTATTTTAGTTTATAATGATTTATTATAAAATTTAAACAAAATGAATGTTTTTGTACGAAAATAAACCACAGGGAACTGATAATGATTATTTTTTGTTTTCACGGCAAGGATTGTGAATCTCTTATACATTTATAAATACTTAAATAAATAAAAGCTGTTAGTTCAATACCTGTGCGATTAAAATGTGAATCACAATGTATATACTCTGGCCAATCATATAGTGATTATTTGATTCCATCTGTTTTGGAACGCATTTTTGTACCATTCCCTTATTTAGTCCTTCAGAATTGCAATAAGCAAGTAGTTCATATATTTTAACGAGACGTTATCGATAGACAGTCTTTGATCGTATGTCAACAACGTCTGTCATGTCTATAACTTGATACAATTATAGACAGTACGAAGTATTTTTATCACTCTTAATGTTGTATGATAATTAAGTTTTGATACTTGAAGCTTGAGAGTCCGTCCATTTATTTGAAAAAATAGATCATCTGACCTAAGTCTTAGCTTACAGTTATTGAACGAAATTCCCTCTTTTTTTTCTAAAATCTTTACAGTTAAACCCAAAAAAATTTTTCCTATGTTTTTTGAAGTTCATACGCGAAGAACTTGTTTCGAGATTTTGGCAGTTACTTTTGTATCGTAAGTTACTTTAACACTCCTTTTTAGATCGTGTTTCACCAAAATATACTACAGCATCATTTGTATTGGTTTATTACTGATTATGATTATAAATCATTCAATGTGGAATCGAAGGTTATGGAAATCAAATTTTTCAGAATACATAAAATTCACATAAGCTATTGTATTCTAAATCGGTTATAAAACGTCTGACTAGATATTTATATATCTGTTGTTCTCTAGTGTATTTAGTTGCAAGACTTGTTTCCGATTGTTAACGGTGATACTGGTTCACTATACCCCTCGATGCTTTCGTTTTCTTTCTTCTCTTTGTTTGTTATGTAATCTTTTCTTTTCTTCTCTTTGTTATTGAATATATGTACGTGAAGGACATTTATACATATATATATATGATGTTTTCTTTAAAATAAAGAGATATCGATTGCTCGACGAAACGAGCTAACACCGATTTCGGATTATTTGTTGATTTAATTGTATTCAGAAATATTTCAAAAGCTAGAAAGTAAAATAAATGATTCTAAATATGTACAAATAGAAGAGCACAGTATGAAGTATATCAAATAATTGAATTCTATATTGATGTCATTTTGTCATATACATCAGCTGTTAAAAGATAACACGCTCATTTCTAATTTTTTTTCTTCAAAAATTTATCTGATAGATTTGTCAAAAATCTTCTCATCAATTTATTAGTAAATTTGAACATTTCATTTCACTAGTGATTACCATTATAAGATTCTTATGTAGATAAGTCATATTCATATTATACTCTATTTAAGTTAATAAAAGATGATCGTAAGATTTTCGATGATTTCTGAATAAGAAATGATTATATATAGATTTGTAGAAAAAGGTTTCTTCTATGAAACGATATACGTATTATCAGGTTCTACTGGTTAACGTTGAGAAACTGATAGGTGACGTTACCGTTAAGCATGTCAATGATACGCAGTAGAACCTGATAATATGCACATTGTTATCTAGAAAAAAGTCTTTTCCAACAAGCCTATATATATATGTCGTTCTCTAGTCAAAACCTTATAGTCGTCTCTTTTTTTGCATTTCAATGTTCCATTCTTTTCTCGTTAATTCGATAGGAAAATGTTGTTTATGATGCTAATGGTTAATAAGCATGATTAAATTTTTACTGAATTTGTTCGCATGATGAGTTTATTTTTCGGTTGAACGATCAATTCGTAAGGAAATGAAACATTTCTAAAGCAATAAGAAGCCTTGCTTTGATAGAATAATTAATTTAATTTTGTACTTGTTCATGGCAGATGGAATATTGCTGCTTTGATTTAATTTAATTGTGTAGATAGTAAAGAAAAAAAGGAACAAAAATTTTCATTCAGATGCATAAACGAGTGAAGAGAAGATTTTTTCACTATACAACGGTAACTAGCATATATAATTATTTACTTTTTCTTTTCAATAGTCTTACCATTCTCAAACTAACCTCGATAGAAAAAACAAGATGAGAGATATGAAAAGAAAAGAAAGTGGTTTTTTTTATTTTCCTATTTCTATTTTATTATTAATATTGTATACGTGTTATCGGAGACTAAATAAAGAAAAAACGGAAAAGAAAAAAAAGCACAAGTTATATAAAGCAAAATTGATTCGTTTCATCTTAGACAACAGCTGCCCTCATCAACTAAAAAGAAAAACACATATTATTCATAGATATGTCTTGTACAAAAAAATCAAATGAATATTGGACCTATGAAAATCTATCAGAATGGTCAAAACATTTTCCATATGCTAATGGATTACGTCAATCTCCAATTAATATAAATCCGATTGATACTATTTTTCATCTTTATTCACCTTTTATATTTTCTTCAAAATATGATTCTGATGTATTATTTACATTGAGTAATAATGGTCAACAGATTACTGCAACATTAGCTAAATGTTCTAATGAACAAAATACCAATGAATTATGGTTTACTGGTAGTGATTTAATTGGAAAATTTTATTTTGTTAATTTTCATTTACATTGGGGAGAAGATGATAAACATGGATCTGAACATGAAATCAATGAACGTTCTTTTCCAGCTGAAGCACATTTTGTTCATAAGAATCATGATAATGGACAAATAGTCGTACTTGCATTTCTTTTTACCATTGATAATAATGAATATAATGAATGGGAAAGATATGCTAATGTTGCAAGTCAATTAATTAAAATTCATGATAAAACAAATTGTATATTTAATTTAAATCGACTTATGCAAGTGAAAGATAAAGAATTTTTTCGTTATATAGGTAGTTTAACAACTCCACCTTGTACTGAAGGTGTTATATGGACAATATTTTCTCATGAAATTCCAATTAAAAAAGAAAGTTTAAATTTACTTCGTCAAAATATTATGCAAAAAGTTTATCGACCCATACAACCATTAAACGGTCGAACTATTTTTCGAAATTATGAATATTCAAAAATGATTTAAACATTTTCTATTTTTCTATAATAGTCTAGTTTTCTTGTTGTTTTTTTTTCTCAGTATGAAATCAAATATTAATAAAGAAAAAAGGCTAATTATAAAGCTTAGATAGATAAACCAATACGGAAACACATTTTCATTATATGTTATAATATTTGGTTGCAACAATAAATTATGATATTAGTTTTAACAAGGAAAAACGAGACAAGATAGATGTTAGCATTTGAAGAAAACGCCGATGTATTTCCATGATAAAGTTTATGGTTTTCTTTCTAACCTTTTCATATGAAGTTATTTGACATCTTTTCTTATTAATGCGGTAAACTGCATAAAGTGCAGCATTGCATGTAAGCTGCTTAGTTGCCATGGCAAAAGTCTTTTTGCACTCGAAATATCAATTAAGATTCAAGTTTGATTTAGTTGAGGTCTCGTAGGTAAAGTTTGTATTCTGTAAATAACGCCAAGAACTTGTGCTTTACAATAATAAAAAAATTGCCTAAAACTTTCTTATTATATTTAACACGATTTGATTCAATATTTTCTAAAACTTAAAGTATGATGTATCTCTTTAATTGATAACAATTTTTGCAATAAATTGGATTTACTCTAATTGAGATTCAAGCGTTTAAAAGCCTTTTTTTTTAAAGAGCTTTTGGAATTTATTACAATTTCGATCAAAATACGAAATCAATCAAATTAAAACTATACAGTTTGATAGAATACTCAATGTTTTATCCAACCATTTAACAAGAAAAGTTTTGCAGAAATATTGTAAATTGAAGAAAATTAGTAAACATAAGTGAATTATGCTGTATACGTAAAAATGCTGATTAATATTTTATAATCTTCTTATATGATGGTGTTTGACTCAAACTTACCTATGGTTAAGTCTCCATTGTCTAGACAAAAAATTCTTGCATGCCGTGTATCAATCAAAAAAGAGAGACGATAATAATCAATGGAAAAAAAATAGAATATGAGAATTGTGGAGATGGTGATGTTCTTCTCTTCATTCACATCAAGATCAATCAGAATAATTAACATTTATTGTAATGTACTCTGAGTAAGACTGAGATTTAGGAATACCAAAAGTTATATGGGATAATGGACTATAACATTCTCACGACTTGTGCTGTCAGCCATCTTCTCTACTCGAGCGACTATCTAGTTGTTTATTGAATTTACATTTATTTTTGAAGACATTTTTGTTTTTGTTTTATTTATCAAGTAAGATAATACTGATATTTTCGTTATTTAAGACAGAAGTTTAACTACCTATTTTAGGTAATGTACATTCACTTCTTTTTAAGCTTAATATGTCATAATGACTTGAAAGAAATCTTCGAACATATTCAGTTAATTCTTTTCCATTTTTATCATTATAAAGACGATCAACATGTTGCAATGCATAAAATTCATCTAGATGATACATTTCACTATGTGAAACATTATGGTATGTATTGGGTTCTGGATCACTATGAAATTTTCTTCGACCATCCAAATGAAGTGTACGGTCAGGATTATTTGCCCAAAAACCAGGCACTTTGGTTAATCGAATACCTAATTTATATATTAAACATGTCAATGCTACGTCAGAACATTCACCACATTGACTTATGTTATGTAGCCAAATATTTTCAACATAATTCATTAAATGAGGTAGAATCAATTCAACTAATTTTGAACTTAAAAAAAATCCAGTACCACCATCTGGATATGCAATTCTAAGTGTTTTCTTTGGACTATCTGGACAACGTGTCATACTACTATGACCACCAATAAAAAATGGTTTTGTATAATCATATGGATCTAATCTTTTAAGTGCATGATGAACATTAACAAAAGTATCACAACTAGTAACAAAATACCATTTATGTGGTTTCGATGTATTTTGTTGTTGTTTATAAACAGTTTCTAAACCATAAAAGATTTTTTTCAAATTAAATAATTTATTTTCATCTGCTCCTTTGATAACAGTAACTGGTAACCATGTATTGGGTGTTGTACTAAGAAAATATTTATGTGTAACTCGAGAAAGCCATGTATCACGAACAGCTATTGCTCTCGTATGATAAAAATTTGCAGATGTAAATATAAGAAAACCTATATCAGATTCAATATAACTTTGAGCCTGTTTCCATCCATTAACTGGAATTGGTACTTTTGAACAATAAGAAAAAAGAATTGAAGAATGATTATTTTGTCGTCCATGTTTATGACATACATAACTTGATAATTTCGAAGCTTCATTTGAACCAAAAAGCCAAGTCTTATGTAGAATTTCTTTTGAACTTTCACCATTTTTGTATGTTACAAATATTATTTTATTTATAGTTGGTTTTATAAATGTTTGTGGAAATAGAACTATTAAAACTATAGTAATGAGTACATATAAAACGAAAATTAGGCATCTTGTTTCAGCCAAAAATGAGGATACTTGTATTTTATGAACCATAGATTTACGATGAAGCAATGTTGATTAATTATGTTAATAGAAAAATAAAAATAAATGACTCTTATTTTTCAAATAATGTTATCTAAAAAAGAATAATGTTTTGAAGATGCGAAACACCCTTTTAACGAGTTCATCACGAGTTTTCTTTTTTCTTTAATAGTGTACGAAGCATAGCATTTATTTGGTTCGTCACCAAGATCTCGAGAACAGCAGAAAGTCAGAAAATCTTCATTCAAATAATAATCAATCAGAAAGAGAGATTACCAAAAAGTTGAGTGAAGCTCGAATACCACCTAGTTATTTCTCTTTCTTTCTAGATAGACGCACTAAAACTTCTCATTTTGAATTGTAATAATATCAAGAGTCAAAGATTGAATGAACCGTTATATAGGTGTTTCGCACCATAACTGGTAACCATTTTTATGATTGAGTACGAAACACTTCTCTCCAAACTAATATGTGAAGCTTTTTTGATATCAATTGTTTTTCTGTCACTCTACTCTGAAAAATAGTCACTGCAGCATTCATTATTAAGAGAACTCTTATAACCCATATCAATATGTTTCTAGTAAATTACGATGAGTTACGAAGAAAAAACGTTCGTTTAGAATAATTGTATACCGAAACTATAAATGATGTCTCCGTTCCGCCTCATTGGTCTCTCTTTGAAATCAATATTGCTTCGTCAAACAATCATAGATGTAAACGGTAATACTACTGAGTTATGTAATATAGTAAAATAGAGTCGTTCACAGACGAAAATGAACACCGTATTAACAAGTGTTATATATAAAATCAGTTATTCAAAAAGAGTAAAGACTTACTTTTTTTGCTGTTCTAGCTTTAATGATGATGCACCTCGAAAAAAAAACAAAAGTAAGAAAAATTTACTTTTTCGCTCATGACTTCGAAAAGAAAAATGAAACATCATTTTGAATGATGAGTCGTGAGACGAATGAAGCGTTGCAACTACCTTTCATTGCTTCAAAGTGATTCAATAACAGAATGAGAAAAATTGTGAAACAGACGAATGATATACTTAGAATAAAATGACAGAACGCAAGAAAAGTTTTGTAAATAACGACGTTCCTTGCATGTTTTATTTAATATATGCAAGCACGAAGGTGAAACGAAGAAGTAACATGATGTATTTTAAATCTATGGACTAGATGCATCGATGAATGACAAGCTTTTTGTTGAAATGTTTAGATCAACGTCTTGTATATCGAACACCAAAGTATCGAATTTTCAAGCGGTCTAAGCTATTACTTTTTTATTTCACAAAAAGTCGACTAGTTTATTCATGCGAAATATGATTGAGCTAGATAAATATTTGTGAATGAACAATTACTACTGTATTAATAATAATTTTTTGTTGGAATGCGGGAATTCTCGTATTATATCTAAATCAACACGTTGAAGTACCAAACGAAGAAAAACAAGACTATATATTATTATTTCATAAGCAATTATTATGTTATTTAGGTCTTCGCCATAATAAATAGATGTTTCAGTTATAGTCATCTGGTGATCGTTTTAAAATAAAGAATTATTACGCGTAATAACACATGCTAAAGTCCTGCAAAAAAGATTATGGTAGTTAAAACTGATCGAGGTATAATTCTTGAGTTATAAGTAATCCATTCTTTATTTTTTGAATCGAGTTAAGTAAGTTGAAACAATAGTCACTTTGATTTAATTGACATATTTGCCGAAATCAATGAAAATATGTGTTTTTTCTGAAAATTAACATTTATAAATTCTTTTCTGAGTATTTGTTTCATATGTTCATCGGCAACGTGCATTTTCTTATGTGTATACGGCGATAAGGACTAAAACTACGTATTCTTTATTGTACACTAAACAGACATTTCCCCAATGTTGACAGCTATAAACAGACTTTAGAAATTACAATTATTTTTCATTGAAAATATAGATATCGATTGAATATAGTTTCGAATCTAAAATGTCTGTTTCAAAAGTTTCATAATTGAGTAAATGAGTAACCTTGTTCAAAATTAATTCCACTGTAATAACTGAACAAAGTAATTTTAAACATTGTCCATAGCTTTCGATAAATTAGAACTGTCAGTTATATCCACACTCATAAATAGGGTACGCTCCTGTGAAGTATCAACGTGCTATCATTCACTTGTCGCTCCTTAATGATCTAATAAACATTTCTTTTATACCTTTATTTTCAAAGAAGATAATTATTTCATCTTCAAGTCTTTCATTCTTCTCTTCCCTGTTCATTGATAATTTTACGAGGAGTACTGTGAAAAAAGTCAGAATCACATGTGTACTAACAGAACTTAGAGAGTAAAAACAAGAACTAATAATTCACTTTTAAAATTTTGTTTTTCCGTCGCTCACAACTTAATGATAATCATTTTCTATAGAATAAAAGATGCATGACCCAAATCAAGGTTTTTATGTCGTTGTAAATTGAAAAGATTATGTTTCCATCAACCAGTTGATCAAAGCTAAAATGAAAGTGAAACGTAGCCATTACGAAACTTATTACTAAGAGAACTCAAATAACAGATGTCAACATGTTTCTAATGAGGATGGGTGTGGGTGAAATGGATATGCACACTCATCCACATCCTCAAAACTACTTAGGGGCATCCAAAAGTAGTGTCGCCATTACCAAATTTCCTTACAGAAAGGGTGAAAAAGTTTTCTTTCTTTTGCAAAAGATAGAGCGTCTTTCACTCTATTTTTCTATGCTATTTGATCATACCTTGACTAATGTCATGATAATAAATTTTTGACAAGACTTTTTTCGTTAACATGTTTGCTCGTGGTACTAGCTCACAATGAGTCAGACGGATTAGTTTTTTAGCCCACTAATACATTGTATTAACAACCAAAATATGCCATAAGATGCAGCGTGAAAAGCTCTACAATTTCCATAAGAGCACTTATTTTCTAGTTTTACTTTTTGTTTTCAAAATGGACAAAGTTTTGAGTGATCGAACTTTGGCGGGTGTAAAAACTGATCGTATAGAATTTTCCTTTTTTTCAAAACAATTAAGATAAACTTTACTATATAGATTGTAGAGCTTTTCACGCTGCATCTTCTGGTGTATTTTGTTTTTCTTTTAATAAAGCATATTAGGTGATAAGATGATCAGATTACAAAAAATGAATTCGTCGTGTATCAAAAACATGATCTTTTTCCATGGCCGAAATTTGATCTCTCAAAATTTAGTCTATTTTAAGAACAAAAAGTGCAACTAGAAAATAAATGATCTTATGGAAATTGTAGAGCTTTTCACGCTGCATCTTATGGCATATTTTGATTGTTAATTCAAGTAATAAGGAATTGAAAACTACAACATACAACTTACCACGAGCAAACATGTTAACGAAAAACGTCTTATCAAAAATTTATTATCATGATATTAGTTAAGGTATGATCAAATAGTATAGAAAAATAGAGCGAAAGACGCTCTATCTTTTGAAAAAGAAAGAAAATTTTTTTAACCTTTCTATAAGGGAATTTGGTAATGGCGACACTACTTTTGGATACCCCTAAGTAGATTTACCACTAATTTTCTGCGATGCAACTCTACTTTTTCATTATATTCAATATTGTTTCGGTTACAATGAATAATGTATATTACGGACAGACAAAGGAAATAACTTCAAAACGAGTCAATATGATTCTTCATCAAAATTGTAGCTAAAGCATCGGGAGCGCAAAGCAGACTCCATGTGGGTAGTTAGGATCGCAAGTTAGCTGACCAATAATGTGCGTTAATTGGTGGTCGGTGTAAACGGGACTGCCACAACTGATTAGCTGTACTTGTTGGTCCTCGGCTGTCCATCCAAGCGGACTGGTCATGATTTTCATGAGGCCGAGAACACATAGCTCTGTGAATTTCTTCTGATGAAACTGATCTGTGGCCGCTAAAAGAGCTTCAATGATTGTAGCCGATAACTTGCCCGGTAAATGAAAAAGCGGTTGTTCACCACGATGTTTAAATGAGCGTCTTTTTCTTCGAGATAATGAAGATGAAATAGGTTTCTCTTGTTGTATCCAATGTGAAAAATCAAACCAATTCGAACGTTGGTTGAGTTTTGTATTTGTCAAATAGGCTTCCTTCGTGGTAGCAAGTTGTTGTATTGTCGCTTGCGGATGTCGCCGCCAAAGTATTTCGATTACATGATACCGTAGAATATTGCCCCCGAGAAAAGCCAATTTCTCACATTCACCGGAACCACCGTACTCGATCGGACGAGTAGCATTAAGCCAAAGTGATTGCGCTTCAGCATAATGAAGCTTGAAAAATACACGTGTAGGGTTTCTAAGATGTGAAGTGATGCGTTCAACAATAAATAAATTCGAATGTAATTGGATTGTAATATAACACATGGGAATATCATCGATAACCTCTTCCCTAGAATAGAAGGGCATTCCATATTAGTAGGCAACCCATACGAAAAATTTCACAAGATGAAATAGAAGGCAGTGAATTATCCGAAAGATTTTTTCAGCTATCTGAGAGATTCTTGAGGATTTAACACCAAAAAAACCTGAATTTGGAGTAAAAGTCTAAGATTTTGTTATTATAATCACTTTTTTTTCTAACGAAAAGTTGCTTTCCCGGTACGTAGCTGCTAAAAATGTCTGTTTGAATGTCAGATTATGTGAGTGTGAGCGTTTGTCTCGTCTCGAATAGAACAGAAAAATTGCAGTTACTCGCCAGTTACATTAACAAGTAATTAGCAACGGAAATTTTTGGACTTTATCCAAGGGAAGACAATTTTCTACGAATAACAATATTTTCATCGAGTTTGAACAGAAGTTTTGTGCGTCAAGAAATTCTCATCTGTAATCCATTTCTCAAAATTTCGAACTTCATTTTTTTACTAAAAAATGATTTGTTTAAGAGGAAAAGTATTACTTTATGAAGTTTTATCGAAGGAAATCGGTGTCGAAAATTCCAAATCTGCAATCGGTGTCTTCAAATTTTCAGTTTGATTTTTTT